AGCCAAAAGAGGTTTCAGGAAGTGGAGGTGGACGAAGGATGGAGGCTTGGTCGGCACGTAGTTGCATTTTGAGACATGTTTTGCCATTATCACTATCATTATTCTTATCATCATCATCATCATTCTAATTATTTGTATTATGATTATTATTGATCCTATTATTATCATATGGCTATTTATTATTACCGATATTCTGATTAGTGCATGGCTATTTATTGACTACTGCTATTCTCATATTTAAAGACATGTTTTAAACGCTATGTTAAGACAAGCTCGACCGGTGGCTACGCGCCCCCCCCCCCCGCAAGTTCTACGGGTGCGCGAATCCTTGGCAGCCCCGTGTCCACTGATTAATTAGCCTTGCAGTTAGGGTGTAGAGTTTAGGGTTCTAGAAGGGGATCCTGATCATGAATGTAAGCGGGGGGGTATTGATCTCCGTTTGAATCCCGTGGCGGCTGCATACAGAATGTTGTTTGGATCAACGATGGCGCTTCAGGCATTCATTGGGCTTCACATACTGTGTCATCGTTGCCGCTTACAGATGCGGATTTTGGCAGTGCAAGTCAACCTTGTCCACTACGAAAGCCGCATGGAACTCTGGCAAACCGAAGGTGCCTGCAACTTGGAAGAGCCACGTGGCGCCATTGAGAATGTGGATCGTATCCGCCTGCGTGCGTGGAGCGATTACCCAGAAGCATGTGCAAATCAAGCCCTTGGTCTGAAATCCCAACAAAAATGGCAGGGGTTACCTGAGGGTTCATGGCATGGGTAGTTCTACGTAGGGTTCTAAGTACCCTAAATAAGCTTATAAGCAGCTATTCCACTTACAACTACCCATGAACCTCCAAGTAGAATGCCCTCCCGTACGTTAAAACCGCATCAACATGTGGTCACGTCCCGGAGGAGTGGTAAGCCACAATGGCATTCATCTTGGGAAGCTTGTAGGCATCGATAGATACGCACTGCACAAATCCCCCCCCCATATACCATATTTATACCTGCGTGTCTACGAACTACTGAGCATGCAACCTAGGAAGCTCGTGCCAGCGCGAGCGATGGAGATGCCAGAACTACAAACACTAACCCGAAGCCCTAAACCCTAAAAGCCCCCAGCCGCTTTTGGCCTGAAAGGCGTTCACGTCCAAGGAGTGCGAAGCTGAGTTCCAGAAGTCCCGTGCGTTGAGCGCCAAGTCCATGTAAGCATTGCGGCTCAGGGGCTCCAGATACCTTCTCAGGGCTTACATATATATATATATATACATATATATATATAACTAACAGATATTGGTAGTGCTCATCTTAATAATAACAATACGAGTAATAACAACAATAATTAATAGTCATAATGATGAGAGTAGCAATAGCCAAAAAATCATGATGACAATCGTCATAGTCAAAAATAGCCATGATAATCATGGCAATCATAATGAAAATACAGGATTCAGGTGTTTAGGATTCAGGATATATGGGGTTTTACGAAAACAAGGGATCCCTAATATAGACCCCGAATAGTAGGATTCCCATATAATAAGGGCCCCAACAAGGTACCCCCAGTTTTCCGGAAACCCATAGGGCTTACAGGGACCCAGAGAGCCCAATGCCCCGTAAGGGTTTAGGGTTTAGGGTTTAGGGTTGAGGGTTGAGGGTTTAGGGTTTAGGGATCCCTATATGCTTTAAGATCTATTTCTTCATCTAGGTGGTATTGGGCTCTTTGGGGAGCGAAATTGGTTCACTCGAAGCCCTGGGCGCCCGGTGTAGAGCTCTGAGACGCAGGTGCAGCAGCAGCTCAGCAAGCCCACGATGCTGTTACTCCTCAGATGGCCCCAAAAAACCCTAAACCCTAAACCCTAAACCCTAAACCCTAAACCCTCAACCCTAAACCCCAAACCCTAAACCCTCAAGACAAAATACATAGAAGTTGTATGTGGTATCATTCTGAATTTTTCCAGGTTGTTTGTCTAAACAGCTGACAAGCAGAGTTTTTAAGTACATTCATCCACAGCGCCTGGGACTCGGGTTTAGGGCTTAGAGCTTGTAAAGGGCCCTTCATCCCTAAACCCTAAGCCCTAAACAATAAGCCAGTGTGCCACCATGTTGGATGTTTACGACCCTGGAATGCACCCTTCTGAAACTCCAGAAGATCAGGGCGGGGGGACTTCCTGGAGCTACAGATGGGGTGTAGGGTTTAGGGTTTACCCTAAACCCTAAACCCTAAACCCTTTAGAGTTAGGGTTCACCTTCAGTCGCAAGGCTTTAAGACTTCAAAGCGTCCTGTCCCTAGGGGCCTCTGATATGCGTGACCACAAACTGAAGTTTCAGATCTGAAGCCCTCAAAACTAAGCCTCAGACCTCTGCCTAAAGGCTCATGGGTAGCCAGAAGTAGGGTTCTAAGTAGGGTAACTATAAGGCTCATGGGTAGCCATAAGTAGGGTTCTAAGTAGGGTAACTGTACAAAGAAGCTCACTTGGGGTACTTGTAACCCATGAACCTCCAAGTAAGCCCTAAGCCCCACACCCTGAAGCCAAGGCACTCCATCTCCACAACGGAATGGACGAACCCCAGTGTTAGCCGAATCGGTTGCACTAGGCCGACGGTGGCGCCGCCCAAGACCATGCTCCCAAAGTGATATCCTGGGAATGGATTTGTTGCTTCTTCTTGGGTTTTGGGTTTAGGTTTAGGGGTTTGGGGTTTGGGGTTTAGGGTTTAAGGGACTGCTATAGACAGGCTCGCGCAACAAAAAAGGCAATTGGCTGGCGGAGGCCGGACCGGACCGAGCAACTGATGCAAACAAAGTATGCCCTCAGGATGGAGCAGCACTCCGCGTGACCGCGCCCCTCCATGCCTTGGCTGTGGGTTTAGGGTTTAGGGTTTAGGGTTTAGGGTTTTAACTTCTAGGGCTCCTTATTGTGGTTTCTACAGCAACCCGAAAAGCCTTTAGCGTCCTAAGAGCCAGCCAGAAGAAAGCCAAGATGCCTCCATTGAAGAACCACTGCTCGGTGGTGTACATGATAACCTCGGATGGCCCTAAAAAAACGTCTGAAATTTTGTATTCCTTAGGGCTTTTTGTTCGCTCCCGCATAGCTGGTCGAACCGCAGGCATTTCCTTAGGGTTTAGGGTTTAGGGTTTAGGGCTGAATATTACCCCCCCCCTTTAGACATAGGGAAAAAAATATTCCCGAGACCCTACCTGGCAACGAAGTCTGAAATTGCCGTGATGATCCAGTTGGTCCACAAGCACCAGAAGGCCACCATGGCTGCCATGCCAAGCCTTGAATTTCATAGTCTGCTCAGCCGAATAAATCAATAAATATATATATATATATAACTATTTATATACATATAAACATAAAAAATATAAACAAAGTATATATATATATATATATATATATATGCTCACCCCCCCCCCCCTCGACAGACCCCGGAAGCGAAAAAAAGGCTGAGGGCGCGACGGACAGCGTAGCTGCACACAGTAGCCAGACACGTTAACACACAATAGAGCATATTTTTTTCGATTAGTACGGCTTTGTGTTCGCAATGAAAGATGCAGACAGATGTGAGAAGGACGCATGCTGTAAGGACCTGAACAATTTGCTCGACATCGTGGATTGCTATTCATTTTAATAAGGTTGCTCTTAGTTTTACTTTTGTTCCTATTAAGTTTATTAGGATTCATAGGCTTCGTATGTGTTCAATAGGAATCCTGTTTGAATCAATAGGAACCCCATTAAAATGAATGAGAACCCTATTGAAATTAAGACGAGTCTTTTTTGAAAACTTAGTAAGAATCCTAGTACAATTAATAAGAACCTGGTTGAAATACGTAGAAGCTCCTATTAAAACTTCTTGGCGTCCTAAATTCAGAGGAACCATAGGAAGGTCATTCAAATGAATAGGAACCCTTTTGAATTCATAGGAATGCTATTAAAATTAATAGGAACCCGACAAAAGAATCTATGAATTCTTTTTAAGAGTAACAGGAATCCGTGTAACATGAAGATGAATCCTATTAAAGGATTAAGAGGAGCCAATAAAATTCTTTCAAAAAAGTCATGTGGACCCTTCAAAACTTCAAACACTAAGAGTCGTACTGTTAGAATTATAATAAACATTATTAAAACATTTAATTAACAGGATTGCTAAAAAAACAAATGAGAGTTACAATAACATTACTTCGAGTCCAATTGAAATGAATAAGACATCTTATGAAAATGAATAAGAAGCCTATTGAAATTAATAGGAATATGTATAACATTTGTTATGAAGCTTTTTAAATTTCTAAGACTTTTATTAAAACTAACTAGGAAGAAGAATGTTATTACAATTACTCAGAATCGGATTCCAATTATTTGGCATTTGATTGAAATGAATAGGAATCAATATTAAACCCAATAAAGTCCTTTAACAGGCATCCTTTAAAATCTAACACGAACCCCATTAAACAAATACAGGAATCCCATTGCCATTGAAAATCACTTAGAATGCTAGTAAAATGATTAGGAGCCTTGTTAATTAAATAAGGACTCCCGTTAAAGTGAACAGGAATATTACTAAATTTAATAGGCAGCCTAAAACATAATAAGGAATCATATAAGAACCCCTGAAAAACTCTTATCAAAAATCCAGTTTCTAAAAATCCAAAAATCCAAACATCCACCCCAAAGGTTTGGATTTTTGGAAACTCGAGCGGGAGCCTCAAAATCCAAAAATCGAGCAAATTCCTCGAGTTTCCAAAATTCCAAAAATCCAAAAAAATCCACCCCAAGGTTTGGAATTTTGGAAACTCGAGGAATTTGCTCGGTTTTTTGATTTTGAGGCTCCCGCTCGAGTTTACAATTTCATATTTCTCATGGGTGTAGAACCCCTAAAAGAATCTCACCAAAACCTGAGTTTCCAAAAATCCAAAAACCCCAACCCAAGTTTCGGATTTTTGGAAACTCGAGGAATTTGCTCAAAATCCAAAAAAACCCAAAATTCCTCGAGTTTCCAAAATTCCAAAAATCCAAAAATCCCAACCCCAGTTTCGGATTTTTGGAAACTCGAGGAATTTGCTCAAAATCCAAAAAAACCCAAAATTCCTCGAGTTTCCAAAATTCCCAAAATCCAAAAACTCCACCCCAAGGTTTGGATTTTTAGAAACTCGAGCGGGAGCCTCGAAATCCAAAAAACCCAAAATTCCAAAAACCCAAAAATCCCAACCCCAGTTTCGGATTTGTGGAAACTCGAGGAATTTGCTCAAAATCCAAAAAAACCCAAAATTCCTCGAGTTTCCAAAATTCCAAAAATCCAAAAATCCCAACCCCAGTTTCGGTTTTTTTGGAAACTCGAGAATTTTGGGTTTTTTTGGATTTTGAGCAAATTCCTCGAGTTTCCAAAAATCCGAAACTGGGGTTGGGATTTTTGGATTTTTGGAATTTTGGAAACTCGAGGAATTTTGGGTTTTTTTGGATTTTGAGCAAATTCCTCGAGTTTCCAAAAATCCGAAACTGGGGTTGGGATTTTTGGATTTTTGGAAACTCGAGGAATTTTGGGTTTTTTGGATTTTGAGCAAATTCCTCGAGTTTCCAAAAATCCGAAACTTGGGTTGGGATTTTTGGATTTTGGGATTTTGGAAACTCGAGGAATTTTGGGGTTTTTTTGGATTTTGAGCAAATTCCTCGAGTTTCCAAAAATCCGAAACTTGGGTTGGGTTTTTTTGGAGTTTTGGGTTTTTGGAAACTCGAGGAATTTCGGAGTGGTGCTCTTCCCCCCCCCCCGCGCTTCCTGGACAGATCGGAAATACAATTCCGGGGTCTGTCGAGGGGGGGGGGGGGGGACCATATATATATATGTAATGTAAATATTTAGATCCCAAACTACTAGATGCAGCTCTCAGGGGTTTGCTGAGAGATGTGTGTTCCTGCGATTTTAACCGGTCTGAAGGGCGGCCCAGGAGCTGCAGCTTACTCTGAGGTGGGAGGAGGGTACCCTAAACCCTAAACCCTAAACCCTAAACCCTAAACCCTAAACCCTAAACCCTAAACCCTAAACCCTAAACCCTAAACCCTAAACCCTAAACCCTAAACCCTAAACCCTAAACCCTAAACCCTAAACCCTAAACCCTAAACCCTAAGGCGGCCAAGGAGCTGCAGCTCGCTCTGAGGTGGGAGGAGGGTCTGGTATCTCTGCTTGCGGGCTGGGTCGTCGTCGATCTCAGATGTGAGGATCCAGGCAAGGACGAGGAGGCTGGCTGCATCCACAAGGCCACGGCATGACCTATAATTCCCCCTAGAACCTTAATAACAGTAATATTTAAATATCTTCTTTGGTTTTATATACACCTTAATAAAAATAATACCCTCTTGGATTTTATATAAACAAAAATTAAAAATGGGCAAGACCTTAGTTGTCCAGTAACCTGGGGGAAGTAAAGGTTAACCGTTAACCTTTGGGACTCTAAGGGGATTCTACTACCCCCAAAGAGGTTAAAGGTTACCTACTCTACTACTTTGAGATTATGAAGGGATTCTACTACCCCCCAAAAAAGGTTAAAGGTTACCTACTCTACTACTAGGTGACAGGGCCAGGACCGGCTCGAGCTTCAAGGAGGGCGTCTCCAGAACTGCCTTGCAGGACCACTCGATGCAGCTGATGGCCATCTCCACATTGTGCCTCTACTCCCCTTAGAACCTTAATAAAAATAATATATGTTGAATATCTCCTTGGGTTTTATATAAACAAAAATAAAAAATGACTCCCAAGTGGGATATAGGTGCTCCAGGTTGCAGGACACAGCCAAGAAGGTAAGCCCGACAAGCAAGAAGCCGAAACCTGTTGCACCATCACCCAGCTTGTCTCCAGTGCTCATGGGACACTCCCCCTTTCTCCAACACCAGATAAAGTACGAGCCCAAGCACAGTGGACCGAGGATGAGAGTGGCTAGGCCTCCTCGCACGAGGACGCTTGCCCTGAAGCGCAGCAGAGTGATGTAGACGTAGCTCATGACGATACCTGAACTTGCGGCCACTATCAGTGGCTGGTATGCGTTGATTACTGTGGCAAAGTACCGTACCAGCGGAGACCTCTGGATAAACTCTTCAGCCTGCTCTGCCAACTTCCCCTCCCAGGGCATGCATACCATTCCCACGAAGGCATGCGATGGATAGCCACTGACCTCGATCAAGGTGAAGTTTCCTCTCCAGTCTCTGAGCACGATGTTCTCCTCGCCCATGTTCGGCACTAAGGAGTCGCTTGGAGTCTCCATGAGCCGTCTTGCTTGCGGCGGTTGCGGTGGTTGTGCTGGTTGTGCTGGTTGGGCTGGTTGGGCTGGTTGTGCTGGTTGTGCTGGTTGTGCTGGTTGTGCTGGTTGTGCTGGTCCGCTTTGTGTAGGGCGGCCTGGTTCGTCGGTCAGAGGTGCTGGGTAATCTCTGGGTCTGTATGGACTGTCTGGCCAGTAGCCATCGTATGGGTCATATGGATTGCCGTACGGGCTGCGTGGATACCAGCCGGGCTGGTCGTACAGCCCTCCCCTTTCAGCATCCTGGATTGGCTTCCAGTATGGATCGTATGGATTAGGCGGTGGCGGTGGATATGCCGGGTTCCCTGGGCTTGCCATTCTTGATGTACTGATACCGGTAGTTGTAGTGGTTGTAGTGGTGAAGGGTTCGGTCGCCAAGTTTCTCGGACACTCATACAGATCCTTAAACTCTTCCGTGGGACATTCAGGAACGCAGATCGGATATAACATGTTCAGGCTATGCCGCGTGGGGTCTGCATCATGCAGGCAGAAGAAAAGCAATTCCCGATCCTCATTCGCGCCAAGACCGCAGTGGTCGCCTTGCCAGTCTGCCAGCTTCATCAGCGAGGCGGGATCACGCAGGGGGAACACATACCAGGCGATGCGCACGATCACGCAACTATAGACAAGATAGATGACGAGCCAGAACTTGTCAGTACATCTGCGAGGAGCCGTGTTAGGGGTCGCCCCCACATCCAGGGGGTCCCAGGGGTTGTTTGCAAAGGCGGCTCTTGCAGCAGCTGCAGCAGCGGCGGATTCATCACTCAACTCGTCGTCTAACTCTAGAACCTCGCAGGGCTTAAGGGTTCCTCCTCGCGTCCCTTTAGATATGCGGGCCTGTTAACAATGTAGACTCAATGTAGACCAAAACCCCATATAAACCCTAAACGCTTAACCCTAAACCCTAAGCCTTAAACCCCACAGAGACCAGTCTCTTCACTACACAAACAGCCACACATGACCGGAAATGTAGGCCTTGGTGGCCGCAGGGTCAGTCTCGACGCCATCCACTATCTTGACGCTCCTGTAGAAACCCTCCGCCCCCCCCTCTCCTCCTCCCCCCCGGCAGGGTTTAGGGTTTAGGGTTTAGGGCCTCCCCAAATCTGCCAAACGTCGTTGTCGTTGTCGCACGCAGACCGGTATAAGTGGTGGGGATGGGGATGGTTGTAGGTGGTGGCAGTCCGGCAAAAGTGAGTGGGACACTGCTTGGAGGTTCATGGGTAGTCATAAGTTGGGTTAGAAGTGCCCTAAGTGAGGATATAAGTATAGTTACCCTACTTATAACCCTACTTATACCTACCCATGAGCATTTAAGAAACGACAACAAGTTAGCACTAGGACGCAGTATGTGGTGCAAGTGGAAAGAATCCAACTGCCCTTGGGCCCGGAGCAATGAGAAGAGCACTGAGAGCTGGCAACTGGCACACAGCACAGCCATGGCAATGTTACTGCAATATGTACGCCACCTGACGAGTCCCTAAACCCTAAACCCTAAACCCTAAGCCCTAAAACCTTAAACAAACACCCGTGATCCTTGCACCTCTTCTACTGCCAAGGGGGCACCTACAGGAGAGTAAGCTCTACGCATTCCCGTCCTTTCCGCTGGCGCGTTGAGTGGAGATGCTTCTCCTGCCTCCCCCTCAGAGTCGGAGCTACTCTCCCTCGGCGTGGCCATGAGCTCGTGGAAAAGCAGTACAAGAGTGCTTGCGATGGGGTTGTCTGCATGAGCCCCTCCAAGGGGCATGCTTCTATCGGCTAGGGCAGAAGCGCCGCCTTGTAATTAGTTGCAACTCCAGTCCTGCTGGTAACCATTCTCCAATATCCGAAAATGACTTTCTGTTGCAAACTTCGCATGTGACATGTTCTAGAAGCCGAAGTTGCAGCCGGGCGATCACAACAGGGTTTCGACTCACATGCGCTTCCCGACACACCCATAGCAAAACTCTCTTGAAGCGGCAGACCTGCCACAAGTTTCAACAGCAACCATACACTACTATTTGCTTTTGACCCCCCCAAATATATATATATATATATATACATATATATATATTATATTATATATAATATCTTCTTCCTTATAAGGGCAAGATAGGGAATATTGTTTTCTTTTTTGGGGGGTTCGAAAGCAAGTAGTAGTACAATGGCAGTGGAGTCCAGAAGGCGATCTGCGTCCGCCAGGTCACGAAGCTGACCTTTCGCCCTGACCTCGGTAGCAGAGGTAGGCTTGAGGCATCGTGACCCTAAACCCTAAACCCTAAACCCTAAACCCTAAGTCTCTCAACACTCACTTTCACTCCCTTCTCTGCTGATGGAATGGATTCAAATCTCCATGCAACTGCCTCCTCCCTTCCCCCGCCCTCCGGCGTGGCGGATGGAAGCAGGCACTTATGCCTAAACATCAGGCAAGGTTCACCCTAAACCCTAAACCCTAAACCCTAAACCCTAAACCCTAATGAAGCACATCTCGGGATTTCTTTATGTCTTACTCTTGGCCAGTAGCTGCTCTGATCCGCCTGACCGTCAGGCGGCGTGTGGGATGGTGGGGGGGGTTGCGACTGGATCTGGAATGGGACAAGGTGCCGGGGTCCGATTTCTGGTTCTCTACTAACCCTAAACCCTAAACCCTAAACCCTAAACCCAAAACCCTAAACCCCTAAACCCTAAACCCGAAACCCTAAACCCTAAACCTTAGGTGCGGTTTTGGCCGAAGGAAACAGGGCGCCCGGCGAAGTGCTCCGGAGCCTTGGACTCCGCCTCAGTGAGCTTCCGCTCCCACTTCGCCTCGGAAATCTTCGGTCCATGCTCAGGACCCCTCCTAAACCCTAAACCCCAAACCCTAAACCCTAGCCCTAAACCCTAAACCCTGAACCTAAACCCTAAATCCTAACCCTAAACCCTAAACCCTGAACCCTGGAAGGGTGGGGTTTCCCAGTGTGGACAGATGCTCCTGAATCGGCGCAGCGTTGGTCCGTTTCTTCTGTGTGTTGCAACAGACAGCTTCGAAGGTTTTTAGGGTTTAGGGTTTAGGGTTTAGGGGCATGCGCAGAACCAAACCTGACAACTCCAACTGCAGTTCCCAAAACCATCTTAGACCAGGAACCCTAAACCCTAAACCCTAAAACCTAAACATCGAAGAAGCCGAAACTTGCCCAAGCTCTACTTCGAGGTTCATGCGGGAAGTTATAAGTAGGGCTATAAGACCCTAAGTAAGGTTGTCAGTACTGTTACCCTACTTATAACCCTACCTATAACTACCCATGGACCTCCAAGTAGCCCTAAACCCTAAACCCTAAACCCTAAACCCTAAACCCTAAACCCTAAACCCCAAACCCCAAACCCCAAACCCTAAACCTGCCAAGGGTCTGCTGGCAAGGCTTCTGTGTTGATGCCGCGGAGATGTGCCGAGGTGTGCCACGGCTGCAGGTGCGGGCCGGCGCCATCCCCTGCAGGGCCACGGTTTAGGGTTTAGGGTTTAGGGTTTAGGGTTTAGAGTGAATTGAGGGTTTTTGTGTCCCTCGTTACCTAAACACCACCCCCTGCAGGACGGAATTTAGGGGTTGGGGTCTAGGTTTCGAGGGTCAGTGTCGTTTCGGGGCTGGTTCAGGAGGGGCAGATGTATTGGTCTGGTGCTTCGGGGCCCTTCGTTCAGAATCTTAGAACTTCGCATGAAGGCATACTTTTGGCATACTCAAGACACTACAATCACGAATTGCACGAAGATCAAAATCAGGCTCTATGCCTGTTGCGGGTCGTTTATTTTTCTGCTCTTGTAGATGCTCAAAATGTGAGTAATACTGTTAATACTACTTGGGATGTTTACTAACAGTCCTTAATAGGAATTATGATATCGGGTGCTATTATACTCCCTATTTAGGACTGTTAGTGCAAGGGGGAACATCCCAAAATACTACTTCTTTAAAGTGGTCTTGGAGTGCTTCTGGGAGTCATCTTGGAGTGTCACTGTTTGGGGTCTACGCTGGCATAATCTTCGAGAAGCTTAGGTATTTGGAGGTTCATGGCTAGCTATAAGTGGGGTTGTAAGTGGGGCAACTCTACTTTTGACCTTACTTCGAGTACTTGTAACCCTACTTCTACTTATAACTACCATGAACCTCCAAGTAGTCTGGGAGATCCAAAGATATCCGGAGTAGGTACAGTAGGCATCGTTCGGGAGCTCGTTCTTGATGCATCATGGCGCCATCAGCATGCGTCGCGTCAGTGTCATTCTACAGAGACCCATGGGCTGAGAGTTGAGTTTTCCCTGCGGTTGTATGGCAAAGCACGACTCTAGTCGCTCTGGGCCGATACCCTCACTTCATAGGGACCCTTTTTCACAGCCTGCGCAGGTGTCAAAGTGGATACCTCATTTCATAGACCAGCTTCTCTTTCAAATCAAGGAAGGTTTGTCTCCATCTCATACCGAACACTTCAAACCATGTGCTACAAACCTTTGGCAGCCTCGCTTGCAGCGCTTGTCTCCACGGCCTCGTAGAAATTCTGGTGACTGGGGCAGTGCAGTTGAGGGACGCGGGCTCAGAGCGTGTAGGGCATCGGGTCTGGGATGCATGCAGCAAGCTCAGGAATACTTGCCGTGGGCGAGCCATCGATGTCAAATGCACTAACGAATGGAAAAACTTCAGGCTGGTTCTTGTTGTGCTTAGGAATCTGGATTTATGTAGGACCTCGTCGAGGTTGCAAGGGGTTGGACAGCTAAACCCTAAACCCTAAACCCTAAACCCTAAGCCCTAAACCCTAAACCCAAAACCTAAACCCTTAACCCTAAACCCCAAGGGCTGGCAGTCTGAAGTTCAGCTTGTTGGGGCCAGTGGCTAGCTCGTTCAAGGTCTTGACCCCTTAAGCCTAAGTGCCCATCGCTACTTTAGACGGTGAACTGAAAACCCAATGAAACCGATTAAACCGATTAAACCCTAAACCCTAAACCCCAAACCCTGGATTTTCTTCGTGTCGATCTCAATCTGCCTTGGAAGTCCGCGCCGGCAGCGGGCGGCGCCTCGTCAACGCGCTCGTGAAGAGCTCCGCCTCCAAGTATGGCCCTGAGCTATCCTTCTTTGAGATGATACTATAAGACTATATTAATACTTATTTCATGTCTATGATACTGTAACACTATAGCCGTACATATCTCTACCTATGATACTATAGCACTATGATAGTACATATCTCTAACTATGATATTTTAACGCTACAATCGCACATATCTCTGACT